TGAGACCTTACATGAGTGGGCTCCCACAAAGAATTACAACTAAGACCCCACATGGGTAAACTCTTATGAAGAATTAGGAGTTGAAACCCACCTGAGCTTCCTGGTTCTAGGTCGTCACTCCGGAGCTTCCTGGTTTTCCAGGTCGTCACTCATCAGTTTCCTGCTTCCAGGTCGTCACACCTGAGCTTCCTGGTTTTCCAGGTCGTCACTCCTGAGTTTACTGGTTCCAGGTCGTCACTACTGAGCTTCCTGGTTCCAGGTTGTCACTACTGAGCTTCCTGGTTCCAGGTCGTCACTACCAAGCTTCCTGATTTCAGGTCGTCACTAATGAGCTTCCTGCTTCCAGGTCGTCACTACCGAGCTTACTGGTTTAGTGACCCCTAGTCACATATTTTACTTCGGCTCCGGCCATAGTGACCCAGTGTCACACTTTTTACTTCGGCTCAGGCCATAGTGACCCCTAGTCACATATTTTACTTCGGCTCCGGCCATAGTGACCCAGTGTCACACTTTTTACTTCGGCTCAGGCCACAGTGACCCAGTGTCACATGCTTCACTTCGACTCCGGCCATAGTGACCCCGAGTCCTATTTCACTTCAGCTACGGCTATGACACATGACTCTGTGTCATGCATTTTTACCTCAGCTATGGCCCAAAACACATGCACCGAGCTAGCCTGGTTTTAACACCAGCTCCCCCACGCCTGCTCGATAGGAAGCCGGCATACACATGCACAACAGACTTGGCCGCGATGGCTTCAGGCCACCTAGATCGGTCGTGCGTGAGGGCGGACATGAACATAAAACATCACTCCTCATCCTCAGGGTCAAACACCGTGCTAACAAGACTCCCAACCTAGTTCGTCAACCGAACACCGAGGGGGGAGTAATGTTGGGATTAGGCCCAACGCCCTATTAGGGCCACATGCAGCAGGCCCAACTATGCACCCACAGGCCCAAGAGGAGGAGACATACCCACGTGGGCAGCACCACGTGGGCCAATGAAAGGCTTACATGTGCAGATACATGTCAGCACTTGGGGCTATAAATACCCCCCAACCACCTCCGAAGAAGGTAATTAATCTCTACGCTTCTCTCTCTGCAATTACTCCTTGAGAGCCTCTCTCTCTAAAGTATTGAGTATTGCTGACTTGAGCGTTGGAGTGTTTTCCCCGAGGAAACAACCTCGGGATTTTCAGGTGTAGAAGCAGCTGAAGACTTCAACAGTGTTGGATTGTGAAGCTGCCCAAACAGTACCCTTATTCTTATCAAATGCAGCAACCTAAATAAAAATCAATTGACAAGGATCAACAATTTTACATATTTATGTGACAGAGTAATGCTCTGATTTCAGTGAACACATTAAATCTCAAATACGATGTATACCTTGAAAGGAAAGATATTTAGCCGCTTAAGTTCCAGAACTAAGCTTAATATATACCTTGTTCCATGATCAAGCATCATGTGAATCTCTTTTCTCGAGTTGATGGCCACATTCCAGCAGGGTCTCTACTCTCTACCAACAATGTAAAAGCTAGCCCCTGCATTTATTTAAGATATTTCATGCCACAGGACTTCAGTTGGGCAGGCATAAGATATGGGAGTTGAAATACAGAAACCATCTAGAACACCATCCTCAAGCACCTGATAAATCATCATCAAACTGATTCAGCAACAAAAGCAAATAGATGAAGATGTACCAATAAAAAAAGCAAATCCATGAAGAATCAAATAAATAAACCAGTCAGTCAGTCTCCAACACACATAAAATAAAATTTTTAAAAAAAATTCAATTCTTAATCTTCACTGGAATCCTCCATACTGAGGATTCTGGGAATATATTCTTCTTCCCCAATTCTTGACAATAGTTATCTCGGGAAGTCCCTCGACAACTTATAACCATCGGAGAGGTGAAATCAATATCCTTTCTGTGCCTCTTTCGGCCTTTTGGGCCACCCAAGTTGGATAACAAATAGCCCGTTTTGAGTTGGACCTGAATTGTCCAACTGCCAGCCCAATTGGATTTTAGTAAACGGTGGGTGCTCTGCCAAGGTGCATAAATAGTTCATGTCTACCCCACCCCGTTGAGTTTACGTCACATGTTTTTTTCGCCGTTTTTTGAGCTCTTGGGGATTTTTTTTATTAGTTGATAAAACTAAATTAATCACATAATTTTTGGGAAAAAAATACCCAATTTAAAATGAGTTGTTTCTTTTTGTAGTTTGAATTATATTTTTTTAATTAAATTTAGTTATATCACTTTCTAAATAAAGGTGATTTGATTTAGTTAACTCATTTTTTATTTACGTAACACATTAAATATTAAAATGATAATAAATAAAATTAAAATTTGATATTAATAATGTAATATAAACTATGTTATTTAAAATATTAAAAAGTAAATTTTATATTATTTAATAATTTTTCTTTTCATTTTTTAAGACCCGTACTATTATATATATAAATTAATTTAATGATGTGATTTATATCATGTGAGTGGTATTAAAATTTTGTCCTCTTTATTATTAATCTAAATATTAATATTTTATTTTTATTTTTATCTAAAAAGAGAT